CCCCAAAACCCCAAAACCCCAAAACCCCAAAACCCCACAGCTATAATCCAAGATTGGAATCTAAAACATTTGATTAATGCTTTCTTTTAGAGTCTTTTTAATGAATTCTGAGAACTTTGTTTGTTTAGTGGAGTCTCATCCCAAATGAAACTTTTCTTCAATCGATACCTTCGAGAAATCTAGCTCTATGGGTAATCAGCATGAAATTAACAAATTTGAACATGGTTAAAGTAAATTGATACACTAGAACTTACTTGAATTTGCTGTCAAATCTTTGATGTTTGGAGCTTCATTATAGCCAAGATGCCTGTCTAGTTCCTCTCTCAAATTTTGAGGGTTTATGGTATTAGAGCTAAGTTTGGTAACATTATTGACAATTTTCTGAAACTGCCCTAACTCTTTCTTGGCTTCATTATTGAGGTATATTTCTAAATCAACTTTTTCTTTGAGAAACCTTGTATCTTCTTCAATTTTCTTTAGAATTTTATTTTTAAGGCTGGAGATATAAATGGCTAGTTCCTTAATGCTTGTATCCACAAGCTCAGAATGACTTTTGATTGACTGTTTGAGTAGATTTCATCCATTCTGAAGCTCTTCCACAAACTGATTTGACTCTTGGATCATTTCTTTAATGTCAGGTCTATCATTGATATCTCATATTTTATGCCCAGAATGGATAGGATCAGTCACTCACTCTGTGCAAATGAAGCATCAGCAGTGTTCTCAAAAAAGTTTACCTGTTTTTTTGTGGGCAGATCACTTTTTAATCAGTTGGCTTTTGTATCTGGAGTCTATAATTTTCTCTTTCTGCCTGATCTGTTCAACCATGAGATTTCTGATTAAATCCTGATGAGTGATTTTCTGTGAGCAATAAAAGCATTTGGATTTATTTCTTAGTAACTGAATCCCATCAAGAGTTACAGGCATTGTTACCACAGAACCTACAGATCATAAACTCTTCAGATTTATTAGATCAGCAGATGTTGCATGTGAGTATTTCACTCCCTTGAATCTCATCCCCATCTGATAATTCATCTTGTCCCATTTTCTGAAAACTTATGTCCAATAATGAGTCAGGGGACTATATTTCAAACATTTAGCATGCTTAAAGAGGATTATTTAAACTATTAATAAGCTCTCATTCTGAAATGCAACAGATTGTTTAATGAATATCCCGATAAACTTACCACGCTCAAAGTTGGTTTCTTAAATAATGTTTTTATTAAGAGTTTTTGGATGGGTAAGCTTCTTTCTATTCGAATCTACTTCGTTGGACCCGAAGCTAAAATTTTGTTCTATAACACATTGATCACAGTTCATACCTCTGCTATTGTTTGAAGGAGAAATTGGTTCGTCGAACCTAGTATAGTCTCTGCCAATATAAGTTGAAATATTCCTGACTCTTCCTTTCTTAATTTTTGGTTTATTCCTGATGTCTATAGTCTGAAAATATGTCCATACACTTTTTCATAGCCTCTTCAACTTTCTGTTTCCTAATGAGTCTTTTGTTCATAATTTTATATTATTATTTCATTTGTGTGATATTTTATGGGGTTTTGGGGTTTTGGGGTTTTGGGGTTTTGGGG